GTGTCTTAATCACGAGCTGATAGTTAACGAACATTTTCCCTACGTGTGTAGTTCGTGTCTTAAAATACTTAACTGATCCGCTTCAGACGTACATCGGACCTGTTCTGATATCAGTAAATCCGTTCAAAGAAATGCCTTACTTCACAGAGAAGGTAGTGGAACTGTATCAAGGAGCGGTAAGTTTGTGACTCACTTGGTCAGTTCTCTGACATCATTACATAAAATTGAGTAAAGTACTCGTATAGAACTTCCAGTTACGTAGAGAAAAGTTATTCATAATTCACACGAAAATCTCGAAGACTGACTAACCTCTCTTGGTGGGAGACTCGGGTTCATGAATGTTCGGTTAATGGAAATTCAACGAAACCCCTTTATATAAAATAAAACTCAGTCTGTATTCCTTCTCAAAAACTACTTCTGAGTGTCTCAGCGGTAAGCTTTAGAGGTTATAACGCTAAAAATTGAGGTTCAATCCATGCGGATTACAAACACAAACTGCCCATTGTGTAAATAAACAAAGTTAGACTGCTACATTAATTTGTTGTTTATATTTGCGAATCTGGAAAATCCTGACAAAATAATTATAACTTGTATTAGTTGGGACGTTATTCAACTGTAACAGGTATTAAGATATCTGTATTTCGTATAGCTTTAAGTTTTGGCCATATTCGTTGTATTACCGTCTTTCTGTTCGTCTGATCAGTCTACTCGCAGCTAAATTACTTGCTTGTCAGGGGTGTTAAGGGTACTTTTGTATCCTATGGGTGGAATTTGTTTTAATTATAATTCTTTCTTCTACAATTATGACAACGACATCTTTGTTTAGAATAAATACCTATCAGCACGTGATTAAGACACGAACTACACAACGAACATTTTCCCTACATACTATCAGCTCGTGATTAATACACGAACTACACAACGAACATTTTCCCTACGTACTATCAGCTCGTGATTAAGACACGAACTACACAACGAACATTTTCCCTACGTACTATCAGCTCTTAAAATATTAATTGATCTGTTTAATCCATTATTTGTAAAGCAACGTTCCGTTTTAATATTAATTGATCTGTTTAATCCATTATTTGTAAAGCAACGTTCCGTTTTAATACTTAACTGATCTGATTTAATCCATTATTTGTAAATCAACGTTCCGTTTTAAAACGAAACGTTGCTTTACAAATAATGGATTAAACAGATCAGTTAAGTATTAAAACTGAACGTTACTTTACACTGAATGGATTAAATAGATCAGTTAAGTATTAAAACGTAACGTTTCTTTACAAATAATGGGTTAAACAGATCAATTAAGTATTAAAACGTAACGTTTCTTTACACTTAGTGAATCGTCCTGGTAGAGATGCGCCCCCTGTCGAACAATACACCCATCTCGATAAGTAAAGACTGTGACTAAAATTATCTGTGTTCAAGTTGTTTCATCGCCTAGAGACATGATTAAAAATGAATGGTATGCTATATTCTTTGACCTTTTCTTTGTCGGTTTTCCAACCGTCTCAGAAATAGCGGCGAACGTCACAATTATGTGTACTGTTCCTCACACGTTTTATACATTTGTGTTTGTAAGGAATTAGAAAATCAATGGAGAACAATGGTGTTTTAGTGTTCACAAACAGGCCGATCATACTGTTGATATGTATCATGGAACGCAAGCCCCGCCATCTAGAGGCAATTTAAGTAATTTGTAACTATTGACGAAATCTTGGGAATTTTGAGATAAGTCCACTAAAGAGTTCTACAGTAGCTTTTTGAAGTCTGGAGAACGTTGTTTCTTTTATTATCGAAGGAACAAACAAGTGATATCAGTAAACTCAGAATAAAAACTCTCGAGCATTTTATTATCAATTCTAGGTCTTGGAGCTGTCAGCCATTTTAGAATTTTACAAACTTCTCGTTCATAACTTTGACACGTATCGTACATTTCATCCATATTCACGCGCATGTGTTTGTAGAACATTATTATTTCTGACTATTTAACAATGTTTAAGAAACGTAACAAATATTGATATATTTAACTGTCGTATTTATTACAAGTCGATGAAAGTTAAAATGTTGACTTAAGGATTATTGTTTGTTTGTTTTTCGTTTTTTTTTAACGCAAAGCTACACACACTATGGGCTATCTCCGCTCCGCCCGCTGCGGAATTCGAGCCCCGGATTTTAGTTGTAAGTCCGTAAACTTACCGCTGGGGGGGGGGCGGCTTGAGGAATATGTGGTTCAGCGCATTTGTTTGTTTTAGAGCAAAGCCACATTGGGCTATCTGCTGTGTCCAGTGCGGGGAATCGAACCCCGAATTTTAGCGTTGTAAGTCCATAAACAAGTCTACACACGACAGATGTACAGGTCTACATTCAACACGATATGTCCCATGTACAATACAATGCTATATGTATCCTTGTTTCAGAGCTGCATAACGGTGTCTCCTCAGTCACATCCCGTTCAAAACAGAAACAACAAAAAGTCACTGTGGTCGACATGCAATAGATTACAGCACTTCCAAACCCGGGATGTGACGTCAGAACATATCACTTTGTGTGTGTATAGGTAGATAGTGTTGATTAGCTTGAATGTTTAAAGATCCATTTGTGATTAAACGTTGAATTAAAGTCATATTTTGTTTGTTATGTATATTGAGAAATGCCTTACTTATTATCCACATTGTAAAATATTATCTTAGTTCGGAATATTTACTATTTCTATATTAATCAACCACCACACGTTTTTATTATTAAATTTTACAAAACAGAAAGATGCATCAAATATACGGCTGCTGCTTCTACATCATTTTCTCCACCAGGGGGCAGCAACAATCTACATTTCGACAGGTACGCTATAAAAACACTAGATAAAATGTCTTTTAAGGATACAAAAATTTGGTCGGCCATATATCTCTTATGTAAGTTTTCGACGATAGCGTCTTCACTAATCTTACTCAACAGCACCATGTCATCCACTCCTGTATGTTTGATCTGCTTGCTCTGCCAGTGGTACACCTAGAACAGGAAAAGAAAACGTGCGATTACATCCGAAACTAACTCCTGTAGTTCTTATATACCGACTTCTTAGTCTACCGTTACTTACCAGTGTCGTTCACATGTTGAGTAAATCTATGTGACAACAATCACTGTGAAAAACTGGCCAACATATTTGGGTTAAATCAATCATTTTCTGTGTCAAATACACGGGGTAGTTAGTAATTTCGATGACAATTCTGTCTGAGTGAATTTATTATCATGGACAAAGTCATGGTTTTACAAGTAAGCTGATGTGGAAATAGTTTAGAAAAATCTGTTTAAAAGTTGAAGTTTGTTTAAAGTTGCATAAAAGGTTATCTACGCTGTTCCTGCTGCAGGGACCGATCCAGGAATCTTAACGTCCTTACTTCAAGTCTACCGTTGAAGTCTCAGGAGGTTAAAAATATTATAAGGTCCCCATTAGTCCTAAGGCAACAAGTAAATGCATCTGGATACATCGTTGTGATGTCTAAAAACGTCGAATGATAAATAGAACAATCTTGACCTTTCGCTCAATCAAGTATACGGCTCGGTAAAACTATGGTTTTTTATCACCAACATCTGACTTTAATCTACGAACATTATGATATTGAAAAAACAACCTAGTGGTTTACAGGCTGTTCAAACTAGAGGTTTACAGGCTGTTCAAACTAGTGGTTTACAGGCTGTTCAACCTAGAGGTTTACAGGCTGTTCAAACTAGAGGTTTACAGTCTGTTCAAACTAGAGGCTTACAGGCTGTTCAAACTAGAGGCTTACAGGCTCTTCAAACTAAAGGCTTACAGCTGTTCAACCTAGAGGTTTACAGGCTGTTCAACCTAGAGACTTACAGGCTGTTTTAGCATCGTTGGTATTTTAATCAACTTGAAAACAAAAACTAACGAAGAAAAGTGAAATGACTGTACGAAACACGATAAATCCACTGACTCAACAAAGTGAAATGACTGTACGAAACACAATAAATACACTGACTCTACAAAGTGAAATGACTGTACGAAACACGATAAATCCACTGACTCTACAAAGTGAAATGACTGTACGAAACACGATAAATCCACTGACTCTACAAAGTGAAATGACTGTACGAAACACGATAAATCCACTGACTCTACAAAGTGAAATGACTGTATGAAACACGATAAATTCACTGACTCTACAAAGCGAAGTGACTGTATGAAACACGATAAATCCACTGACTCTACAAAGTGAAATGACTGTACGAAACACGATAAATACACTGACTCTACAAAGCGAAGTGACTGTATGAAACACGATAAATCCACTGACTCTACAAAGTGAAATGACTGTATGAAACACGATAAATCCACTGACTCTACAAAGTGAAATGACTGTATGAAACACGATAAATCCACTGACTCTACAAAGTGAAATGACTGTATGAAACACGATAAATCCACTGACTCAACAAAGTGAAATGACTGTACGAAACACGATAAATCCACTGACTCTACAAAGTGAAATGACTGTACGAAACACGATAAATACACTGACTCTACAAAGCGAAATGACTGTACGAAACACGATAAATACACTGACTCTACAAAGCGAAGTGACTGTATGAAACACGATAAATCCACTGACTCTACAAAGTGAAATGACTGTACGAAACACGATAAATACACTGACTCTACAAAGCGAAGTGACTGTACGATACACGATAAATACACTGACTCTACTACTCAGAGACTGAAAAATGATGCGCGATGAAAACATTTAAAAAGAAAGTAAAATCCCATAAATATGTTCACATTACACGCGTTAAGACTATAAGCCAAATCCCATAAATATGTTCACATTACACGCGTTAATGTAACAGTGTTATAAAGTGTATTACATAACAATACAAGTTACTTGACAATATCAGTATAATGTAATAGTGTTATAAAGTATTACATAACAATACAAGTTACTTGACAATATCAGTATAAGGTAATAGTGTTATAAAGT